GAGTGACTGTTGGAGGCACCAGGGATTTTTTTTAATGTGTATAGAGCCTGAGTGAGAAGCCTAGATGAGGTAAATTAAACTGCTATAGTTAGGTCCAACGAGCCTTAAATTGTGAAGGATGCAGATTTTCAAAAGTGGAAAGGCATGTTAATCAGTTTAAACCATCATAGATTTCACTTAAAATCACACTATGTCTGTAAACATTCACGTCTCTAATTTATCTATAAGTTCTATTAATGTTTGTTACAATTTAAAAGTCTATTACTTGAGTTGCAAACACACAAAAATATGAACAGGATACAGCAGACAGCAGGTAAAGGAAAGGATTCAGACTAACTGGGAAAAACTTCCTAGTTTTGCTAAATTTTTAAGGAATAGAATTACATTCTGAAATAATTTGCCTAGGATTCACCATGACTTGAAGTCTGCAAGCTTAGAAAACTCTTAGAAAACTCAATAGCTTGATCATGGCAACCTTGTGTTAGCTCTGTCTGATGTCATGTAGGAGGTTACGATAGATGTTCCTTAAAGGATTTTAAGACTTTAATACCATAATCTTCTTTGGTGTTTATATTATGCTCACCATTAAGACACACGAAGACATCCACTAGTAGTCTCTCAACCTTATTACTTGACATGTTGATAGTTTCAGCTCTGTCTCCCTGTCCTGGATATACTTCACAGGTAACAGATGAATCTTCCTAAAGAAAAATCCCATTCATCGATATAGAAATTTTAACATATTCTTCTGTGTATGTTGAACTTCAGCTTTATTTCAGGTATAAATTTTAGATCCACAATGTAATTTTTCTTTGGGTAGAAATATCTATATACACACTTATCATGCTTTAATTCAGCTAGATGGGCTGGAAATGGTTGAAGTGGTGCTAAATTTATGATCTAAATGGGCCTCAGGAAGATGTGTGGCTTCACACAATGAAAAAACCCAACCAAACAAGCTTGAAAACCTCACTAATTTTGAAAATGTGTTTGAAAAAAAGTTGCCCATTCATGTCTTCATGTCATTAAACTTCATTCAAGTATAAAGACTTAAATCACTTTATGGGTATTAAAGACTCAAGCACTCCTGTGTCTTTAATGACTCAACATTGCTGGATGCTGCTTTGTAGACTTTTAAGTGCTTTTTAAGTGCTTTTACCATCTTAAGGTAGCTTAGGTGCTTAACTGATTGTGCCATGTTAAATCTCCAAAGAGACTCACCTGGGATTTTGAGACCTTTAAGGTAAGTACCTGTAACTCTGAACTCTGCTCTTAAAAAGAATGAATATATTATTCTGTGAACAATTATAAACAGTGAGTCAGGATATGCAGATATGTTGGGGTTTATATAAAGGTGGGTTTTTTATTTTATTTTTCCATCTCCAGCTCTCTTTCTATACATAGAAGTTAAATAGATCTGCTGATACTCCCATAAGAAATTTCTCTTTCTTGATTTAACAACAAATCAAGGCAACAACATTCAGTTTTTCTGTCCCTCTTTCACCTCTCCTCTCTCTTTAGCATATCACCTGAAAAAATGACAGTTCTCCCCCAGAGAACAGAGACCTAGCCCTTGTTCTTGCATAGTCACAACCACGCTGCATCACTGAGGCAAGGCTAACCCAGATACATTCCTCTTTCTTTTCAGATGCCACTACAGCAATTTGGCCTTCTCATTAATGGCACACGTGCTAGCTGACCATGCCGCTGAGGGGCAATATCAGCGCTGGATCTTGGAGAACATCCTGGACCGCTTGGGCATGGAGGACACTGGCTTTGACATCACTCCACCGATCCGCTTTTTTTTTTCCCCCCCCCAGCCCCTCTCTATGACCTTGGCTGGTACAGGCCTTCTGGCCAGATGTACTCCACAGCTGCTGACCTTGCCAAGCTGGCAATGGTCTTCTTAGGCACCTACCACCGTCGACTCCTAGAGCCTGACACAGTGAAGACGATGCTGACCCCTCTCTTTAAGTGCTCCACTGAATACTTTGCTAACAAGACCGGCACACCCTGGGAGATTAACGAGCAGTTGGGATATGATGTAATTAGAAAGGACGGAGACCTTGATGGTTATTCGGCTACCTTCTCCCTTATCCCCAAACTCCGCCTGAGCTTCATTGTGCTGATGGCAGGACCCAGGCCTCAGGGTGGAGATATTGTGACTCAGACATATGAGTATCTTATTCCTGCCATGGAGACGGCATTCAGAGAGGCAGAGAAAAGTTTGATTCCTCCTCCAAGTCCAGGTCCTTATGTTGGCTACTATACCTATTCTAATCTGACTTTCTATGAGATCAAAGTTGGACCTGGTGGGGTGCTGGTCATGCAGCAGTTTGGGCCTCATGTGGAGGAACTGATTCCTGAAAAGTACCGGACAATCAAGCTCCATCACCTGGAAGATCGTGTTTTCCAAGTTGTTTTTGACAAGGAGTTCCCATGCGTTCTGCAGCTGGGCTCTGCTTCTATCTCACTGGAGACCCAAAATGGGCAGCTCTTTAACTTTTATCCATTTGATCGCAAGGGTTTGTCTCCTGGCTTTGATGCACCAGGGCTGAACACATACAATGTGGTGCGTGTACCTCGTAAACCTGTATTCTATAGCTAAATGTCCCCTCTACTTTTCTGACCACTTCTGGGAGGTGGCTCCAAATCTGTGTCTTACCAAACTCTCCTGTCTGTCTGGCTTTATGGGTGCCATTTAAAAGGGAAAGATGGTGGCAAACTACTCTTTTGCCTAACAAATATGTCATGTTCCACTTCTAAAATTACTTCAATGGCTTGCAATCCCTGGCAGTGCAAAACAGGCCAGCTAGCAACTGAGGATGCCTGCAGGAAAAAAAAAAAAAAAAAAAGAGAGATTGGAATGTGCTGGATGGATGGTGTTTGGATGCCATAAAAAAATCCCAGCACTTAAATCTCCACACTTACATTGTCTGTTTGATAACCATTCTGGTTATTGACTGGTATCACCAAAGGGCTGAGAATTTCCTGTGTCTCTCAGAAAGTATCTCTTCTTCAGTCCAAGGGTTTTTCCAGGGCTCTTCAGGAGCCTACCTACCATGAACAAGATTCCTCACCTGGGTTTGACAAAGCATTGTGTGCTAGAAAATGACACCAGCCTGATACCAGGCCCTGCTTGTGACACGTGGGAAGTGAGAGTCCATTTCTTTCCTGGGTCACAAGAAGGAAACTGTGAAAAAAGCAGGCAGCAATGTGGTTGCTCCATGGACTTCTGTAAAAACAAAGATCATACAAAGGATATTGTAGCACTTTAGCATAGAAGATGAAGCTTACTCCTGTGAGCAGGGCTGTGTGAACATATACTGGTATATTCCAGCTAGACTCAGGTTTGTGACTATCTCAGTGTATAGGCAAGTGTGTGAGAGTGGTGTTAAAGTACAGGAATGCACGCAATCTTTATGCGAGTTTTGGGCAGGGTCTCCATATGGATACCCACCCGTCGTGTTTATGAAGGTATGATGGAAGATGCTAAGGGAAACTGCGTTAGCCTGGGGAGCACTGCATTTAGGACAGATGCATCTGCATGCAATCTGCAAAGCCACAGGTGCATTTTTTCTCCCTTCTTGTGCCAAGGCGGTTAGGACAGATGATACGTCGTTAATGGCCAACACCATATCACTGTGATGGGAACAGTGACAGGCACGAGTGCAAGACAGGACAAGTACCACTAAGGAGTTTTGGCTCAGCAATGCCCCTTCAAGTTTAGGAGAATATTGTGATTGCAGCCCTAACTGGAGCCTGAAATAAAAGCAAGCAGAGGGTCAGGGCAAAATAACTCCTACCTTAAAATGTAGGAGTTATTACCTCTGCCTAGCTGCAGAGTATGGCAATGGCTGTACAGCATCGAAATCCTGAAGGAAGTGCAAAAAGGTAGGCATAGTAGCACAATCAAAGACCCTGTGAAGTGCATGTTCCCCCATATCATAACTGGTATGAGGTTGGATCCTCTTGCAGAGTGACCCCTTCTGCTGCTTGTCCACAAGAGTCTTGAAAGTGGACATGTCTCAGAGAGGATGAGAAAATAAATCTCCCTGTCTCCCTTCTCTCTTGTTGGCCCTCACTGTTTTCACTCTGTGTGCAGTTCTTCAGCTCCAGTTTTGAGTAGAGACACCGTCACTAAAGGTCTAGAAATCTATGATTCGCAAACTGGGTTCCTTGCCTTTTTTCAGACAATTTCAGTTCCCTGGTAAATATATGGAATAAGGTAAACCTTGCCTTACAGGCAGTCACAGTTGCTGCTGTATTGGTTTCCTCTGGACTTTGTAGATGATTATATTTCATACCTTGTACAACCTCATATGTTCAAGTATTTAATCTGGGCTATAGTAACAGCAATAAACTCCATGCAAATTCTTGCCGCTGTCGTGTGTGATCGTGCCCAGAGGTATATGTAACAGGCAGATATGTTGCACTACGTTTGATCTCCTGTAGGGGTGCCTACAGTCTGTCATGGCATGCCTGACACAACAGTGCTTTCCAGGCTTTGTGCTCACAAGAGGTCATGTCTGATTGCAAGATATTTGAGCAATTTAACCCTGATCGTTTTGAGCGAGGGCTAAGCACCAGTCTGGGGCTTTGGAACAAAAGAAGTGACTGTTTACCCATCAGCTACCTTTAAAAGCTTCCAAGAAAAATTAGGATTTATATCCCATGTCACTCACTGATCAGGATGAAACACCACACTGAACTATCTCCATCTGTCTGATGGAGAGGTTAAGATGTTTTATTTTTCCATCAGTAATGCAGACAGTATCAAGTCTTTCCTCTTCTAGAGATTAACCTTCAAACCTGTATGCTGACATTTTTTGGTGCTCCTCTTCATTCCCATAACAGCAAATAACAGCTCTTTCCTGTTCATAGTGTGAATCTATACCTGCAGAAAATTTAATCTCACCAAACCTTGGGTGACACTGGGGAGGTGAACAAGAACTTCCTACACTGCCCTTTTGTGTGGGCAGGAGAGCACCCTTACCCATTATGGAGAGGAGAAGGGAGATCACGGGACTCCTCTACAGAGGACTTGGAAGAGGTTTTGTGTGGTAGGCAGGATAAGGTGGTGTTTTGGAGAACCTCAGTCACCCACAGAGATCAGCCAGAATCACAATGCTGAATTAATGTTATGAACACAAATGTCCAATTTCTTTCTGTCACTTCATGCTATCCTGACTATCCTAAGAGCAGAATCGACTTCTGTGACCTGACTCATGTTAGCAGGTGCTTTATACCGGCTTTAACAGTTCTTCATAAACTTCCCATTTTAACACAGAGTCCAAGTTACCATTCCAAGTAAGTTTTTAAGCTTTTGTGTATGCTTGTTGCTAAACTTAAAAATATCCCGATGTTATTTCATCAATGTCAGAGACTGGCTCCAACAATAGGTACCTCAAGCATGTAAGAATCTACCCAGCTGCTCACTTCTCATGGAAGTGTGCATTTTAAAAGGTGACTAGATGTGTCTTTAGCAGCTTATAGAAACAGCATGCTTAAAAATGTTTTTATAATTACTCATCAGGGAACCAAACAAATAGAATATGCTTCATTAGCTTTCCCAGCATCAAAACCAGACCAAATTCTGCTCTAAGGAGAAACCACTGGTGAAACCACATAATACTGTCATAGTGTCCCTGAAAACTATTTAGTCTACAAGTTAAAAGGCTCTGGGCCACTAAGAATGAGATTAATCTGCCAAAATGTAAATAGCTACGTCTGAGCTATCCCCTTTAAACTTCTTTGTACTCAGTGACATTTAATGACTCTAGTCACTAGAATAGATTAATCTCATCTTAAAACAGGCATTTAGAATAAGTTGATTAATCACACTCTATGATTGGTTGAGATGGACACAGCCTTTGCTATCAGAAGCAACTCTTCAGTTATAAGTGAAACATGATCTGCCTGCCAGGTAAGGGCAAGTTCTCAACTTGTTGCACCAACATTGCCCTGAAGACCTGATTAGCAGGCCCAAAACAGAACATGGTGATGTTTGTTGTGGTCCCATGCTAACATAACATGAGTTAAGACAACTTCTTCCCTTTTAGAGGAACTCAATCTTCAGGAATATTAACTCAAGTGAGGATGATATCAAGCTTCAAGCTTCAACCTACATTTTGAAAACATCAATTTATTCTACATTCTTAGTTTCTTTGAACTTATACTTCTCAGCCAGACCAACTTGGCCCAGTTGTTTACAGAACAGCATCTTTGCAGATCTTTTCTGTTTCGATGATGGGAATAAGATGATGTGTCTATCTGCCTGTAATCACCACCAGAGCAGGACTCAGAAAACAAGGATGAAGTCAGGCTAGCAAGGACTGGGCCTTGGTGTCAGAGTCTGAAAGTTTATTGAACATTAACACTAACTTCAGGCTCCCTGAAATTCCTTCTCAGAAATGTATTGATGTTCTTGTCACAAAGGGATGTGTTAAGCCCTTGTGATGTGAAGCACAAGCTTTTTGGCTTTTCAGTTCTGCAGGAGTTTCTAGTATTTGTTCAAAAAGAAATGTCAGCATCCACCCTTTGAGAGAGAGAAGAGATTAAGAGAGCTGCTGGGTCAAAGCCAATCCCTGTCTCCTTTTCACTCATGAAGTGAATATCAACAAATGTTTAAGTACTTCTCAGTTAGCAAGGAAGCTTCAATACGTATTGCTATTAGGTGCGACTCTCACTCTAGATAAGGTCATGTATTCTTCAAAACACAAATACTAGAAGCCCGTTTGCAAGTTTAATCCTTTCTTGCCCATTCAATTCTGCCTTTATGAAGAATCTGATATCTCATGACTTGGTTTACAGAACTATGGATCAGAAGTTGTGAAGAAAATAAATGTCAGAAAATCCCCAACACTGTCTACAGAGAAGTAAGACAATCTCCATTTACATTTAACAGGCGTTTGTGCAGCCCAGCTGAGCATAAGCTCACATCCTCAGCAACAGACCAGATCTTGGCAGGAACTATTGAAATGAGAAGAGAAGAGGCTGTGGATGATAGGATTTATGTCAAAACTCAAGATGAAGATCCTTATCAAGATGTGGACAGCCTGGAAGACCCTGTACACCAGGTCTGCCCAGGGGACACCAGAGCTCCACAGCAGCCTCTCTGCCCCAAACACCATTCAGCATGTCAAGAACACACACTACCATGACACAAGCAGACAAGAGGAATCAGGAAATGAGAGTGAGACAACGCGTTAAACAAAACCAGAGCTCAGAAGCAAGAGAGGACTGCCTGAGAAACACTATTAACAGTGTCCCTCTGGATTGCCAGGGACCCTGGGCAAAAAAGCCGCATGCTGTTAGGTGAGGGATTGCTCCAGTGGGACATGCTGAAGTGCAGCTCAAACCATCTAATGCTACTTAATCAGGCATTTGGCTTGGTTTTCATATTGTGGAATATAGTGACTGAAAAGTCTAACAAGTTGGCCACAATAGACTATTACCCAGCAGGGACTGGAAAACCTGGAGAGAGAGGGAGCAAGACAAAGGACTCCACATTCCCTAGAAAGAAAGAAAAGATGGCTAGCCTGAATCTAACATCAGGTCTCATTATAGGGAGAAAGGACAATACATCTCAGAGTCTTCGGATTTGAA